ACAGTTTTTAAACGTACCAATATTCAGAAATATTACATTAAAATGCTTAACCGAAATTGCTGGTGTCACAGTAACAACTTATGATGATGTATTTGTAATGTTATTTGTTAATGTAATGCGACAGTTAGAACAGATTTTACCCCTTGATACAAATATACGCGAAGCATATGCAGCAGGTCAAGATCAAGAACAAAATTTCATTCAAAATCTAGCTATATTTTTATGCACATTCTTGAAAGAGCATGGGCAATTTATAGAGAAAAAACAATTAAATGAGTTGCTACTCAAAGCATTGCATTATCTTGTTTTAATTTCTGAAGTTGAAGAAGTTGAAATATTTAAAATCTGTTTGGAATATTGGAATGCATTAGCAATGGATTTATATAGAGCAAATCCCTTTGTGTCTCCAACACCATTATTTGTGGTTAAAAATATAACACTCCCATCTAGAAGATTATTTTATTGTCCTGTTTTAACAAAAGTACGATATATTATGATCAGTAGAATGGCTAAACCAGAAGAAGTTCTTGTTGTAGAAAATGAGAATGGAGAAGTTGTTAGAGAATTTATGAAAGACACTGATTCTATTAATTTATATAAAAATATGAGAGAGACTCTTGTATATCTTACTCATCTTGACTATATAGATACTGAAAGAATAATGACAGAAAAGTTACAAAACCAAGTTAATGGATCAGAATGGTCCTGGAAAAATCTTAATGCGGTAAATATATATAATAATTATAAAATTTTATAAAATATAAAATTTATAATCAAAATAAATCATATTAATTTTTATTTTTGTATTAGTTATGCTGGGCAATAGGTAGTATTTCTGGTGCAATGCATGAAGAAGATGAAAAGCGATTTTTAGTAACTGTTATCAAAGATCTCCTTGGTCTTTGTGAACAAAAGAAAGGCAAAGATAATAAAGCTATTATTGCTAGTAATATTATGTATGTAGTTGGGCAATATCCAAGATTTCTCAGAGCACATTGGAAATTTCTGAAGACTGTTGTAAATAAACTCTTTGAATTTATGCATGGTAAAAATATTATATTATTATATAATAATTATATAATATTATATAAACATTGTAAATCTAACAATATTATAAAAAATATTTTAAATAATCAAGATAAACTTCTCTACAGAAACTCATGATGGTGTGCAAGATATGGCCTGTGACACATTCATAAAAATAGCACTAAAATGTAGGCGACATTTTGTTACACCACAAACAGGAGAATTGGTACCATTTATTGAAGAAATTCTTTCTACTATTAGTAGTATCATTTGTGACCTCCAAACACAACAGGTAAAAATCATTAAAAATATAATAAACAACATAATATATTATATATATATATATGAAAAAATTTATAATATATTTATTACATTTTATATAATATATATAATGTTTATATAATGTTTTTTTTTTAATTACATTTCTATATTAATTATAATATAGGTACATACATTTTATGAAGCAGTTGGATATATGATAAGTGCACAGACTGATACAGTAATGCAGGAAGAATTAATAGAAAGATATATGCTTTTACCAAATCAAGTATGGGATGACATAATAAGTCAAGCATCTAAGGTATCTATTTAAAAAATAAGTCTTTACATGTTTTTCTATTTTATTTTTATTAATATTTTTTTAGAATGTAGATGTATTAAAAGATCAAGAAGCTGTAAAACAACTTGCTAGTATTTTGAAGACAAATGTAAGAGCTTGCAAAGCTCTTGGACATCCATACGTGATACAGTTAGGAAGAATATATTTAGATATGTTGAACGTTTATAAGGTATATTAATATTATATTTATATTATATATATTATTGTTATATTTATATAATAATAATAATATATCAATATTTTAAAAAGTAAATTTATGCTTATTCTTCTTTTTTAGGTTATGAGTGAAAATATAAGTGCTGCAATAGCTTTGAATGGTGAAATAGTAATGGAACAATCTCTGATTAAAAGTATGAGAGTAGTGAAAAAAGAAACATTAAAATTGATCTCAGATTGGGTCAGTAGAACAACTGACCGTCAAATGGTAAAATTTTATTACATATTCAAAATATATATTAATATTTGAGAGTTATAATTTGTATCATCTTTCATGTAATATATATTTTTTTATACTATTAACAATTTTATATATATTTAAAACATTTTCAATATTTCAAAATAATTGATTTTATTACATATGTTATTCAGGTTTTAGATAGCTTTTTACCACCATTATTAGATGCTGTTTTATTGGATTATCAAAAAACAAATGTGCATTGTGCTCGAGAACCAGAGGTGCTAAGTGCTATAGCCACTATCGTAAATAAATTAGAATGTTATATTACCAGTGAAATACCTAAAATATTTGATGCTGTGTTTGAATGTACTTTAGAAATGATAAATAAAGATTTTGAAGAATTTCCGGAACACAGAACAAATTTCTTTTTACTTTTACAGGTAATTATAAATAATATTAATTATTGGTGAAATTTAATAACAAATTTTATATAATATAAATATTATATTTTTAATATTTTTATATTTTAGGCAGTGAATGTTTCTTGTTTCTCTGCATTTCTTATAATTCCACCAGCACAATTTAAACTTGTACTTGATTCTATAATTTGGGCTTTTAAGCATACAATGAGAAATGTTGCAGATATAGGACTACAAATACTATATCAACTCTTACAAAATATTGAAGTTTCTACTCCCGATGCTCAAAATTTCCATCAAACATATTTCACAGATATTCTTCAACATATATTCAGTGTAGTTACAGATTCGTCACACATTGCAGGTAAATATATACAAACAAAATTGATACGATCATTCAATTTTATTATTTTATAATTAATTTTTTTTTAATATTATAATTATCTAGGCCTTAATATGCATGCTACAATTTTGGCGTACATGTTTTCGTTGGTTGAACTTGGGCGAATTAAAGTTCCATTAGGACCTGTACCAGATAACACATTATATGTTCAAGAATTTGTTGCGAGATTGCTTAAAACAGCATTTCCACATTTAACTGATAATCAAATTAAAATAACTGTACAAGGTTTATTTAATCTTAATCAAGATATCCCTGCATTCAAAGAACATCTTAGAGATTTCCTTGTTGAAATTAGGGTAAATATTCATGTTTTTTTTTTCTCTCTTTTTTTATGATTTTTTATTCATATATATTCATAGTATATTTACATAAATAAACTTTTTAAAGGAATATACTGGTGAAGATGATTCAGATCTGTATCTTGAGGAAAGAGAAACTGCATTACGGTTAGCACAAGAAGAAAAAAGGCTACAACAAATGGCAGTACCAGGAATACTTAATCCTCATGAAATACCAGAAGAGATGCAGGACTGAATTATCAGTTTTCTTCGTTACCTGCTTTCTGTACATCTCAATAAGAAACATTCTGTTACACAGACTATTGTATCCTTTGATCTGCGACTTTTCCCACATGTACCACAATTACCATCAAGATGGATATACATTATATACTTTTTAAAGCCAAGTTTACAATATAACATTCTTGTTAAGGAGGTAAGCCCGAAATGCGGTGATTGTTTGTCTGTTATACAATTTTAAAAGAATTGAAACTTCTGTTATGAGAAACAGGTAAATACATGCTGAACAATACTATTTTATACAGTGAAAAAATAATATTTGTATATTGATATTTAGTACTAGTAACAAATATTTTTTTAATAAAGACATTCTTCTATAGTCTCATTTGGTATTTATAATATATATTAATATGTATAATAAAATTGTGATTTATATTAAAACAAGTTCTACGTAAACAAATTTTTCATAAAAATTATTCTTTTTATTAATATATCATTACAAATATTAATATTGCATAATAATATCTAATATAATTAAATAATAATCTTATTATTATAAAAATGAATAAGAATATTGTATGTAATATTGGCGTGTATATTATATTTCGAGATATAATTAAAATCATTTAAAATAAATTAAATTCAAAATATAATGTCTGATTCATATTAACATATAAAATAGTATTGCTTCAGCATATTTAGAGGATGTTACAGGTATATGTGTGTGTTTGCATAAAGTTGTATGATAATGCTATTAATATTGCTATATATAGATATATAGGTACATAGTATATAAATATATATGATCTGCAAGTCATACAGAGAAATTTTGTAAATTAAACTACATGTCATATATAGCATTTGTTTAAATTTCACTTTTCTGATAATCCTATATATATATATTCATCAACGATAAATATGTTCAAAATAAATCACTTTATATTTTTGTTGTATTTAACTTCTATAAGTAA